ATACAATTGGATACCCTACAATGGGAGCCAGGTTATGACAATATCCACCACAACCCCACGCCGGGCTAAACGAAAGGTGGCCTTTAGTGGATCCAATTCTGAGGCCGAGCGAGCTAGGCCCGCTTCCACACTTTACAGCACAAACTCCCGATAGCCTCACGGGGATACCTCAATAGCCCCATCAAAGCGGGCGGCGCGGGCTAAAGCGCTCGCGCAGGTTTCTACGACCCCGGCTACACCTATAAGAACGCCGTTCGCGGCCCGTTTAAGGGCGGAGCAGGTGCGGACAGAACCGCGACAGTTTTTACATAATAGGACTAGTGTTCACACTCGACGAAGTTCTCTGGGTGCTATTGTCCGGTTTGCTGATGAGGCTGTTGATGATAATGATGATTACAACGCTGCAGATGATATCGGCGATGCTGGTGATGATGGTGAAGTTGGCGATGAACCTGAATCTCCGACTAAAAGGAGATCTACAAATAGATCTATCTAATTTTCTTTTTTCTCTTCGCATGGGATCGGGGGTAGGTTGTCTTGTCCTACTTGTACAAACTAAATTTTGGGTTGATATGGACAGGCTTATGAGTGTGTTTTTGGAGACTTGTCATTATATTTTGGATTAGTATGTATACCGGCGGTTCTTTGGGCGGGGTCTGATTTATTTTTTCCTTTGATATCACGAAGTATATTCATTGTCAGCGGACTTTGCACATGTGGACTAGAGATTATTTAGTTTGATTTCGCGTCCCTCGGACTTGTCGCATGAGCACTCTTTGGGGTATTAGCCAGCCGAAATAGAGATAAATGCAAGGAAGAAGGGTATTAGTTCCCCCCACATTGTGTGTAAATGTCTCATTTGTTGATATTGTCTACGGATATACATAGTAATTAACGGTGACGTCGTGGGTGAAAGTCGTGCTGACTACGCAACTTCCGCACGTTTCCAACTAAAGTAGTTACTTGGTAACATTGCATCTCACGATAAGTTAGATACCCTTCACGCAACTACAAACTTGGCCATATACCAGGGGTATATGCGGTCTCTGGATAAACTCACTTTCTTCGACGATGATATAACGGATCGCGACCGTGGCGTCTTCCAGCGTTCCTATGCGAGCTCTGCTACCCGGCCGACCCCCGGCGAAGCTCCAAGCCCTGAGCATCGCGCTGTGGAGCAATATTCGCATTGTTGTAAGTACTCATTTTGCGGGGAAACTGGAATTTGCTCCTGAATAGTATATTTATGAGGGACGGAATTCGCTGACGTTTTGTTTGCGTGCTTGTTTCTAGTCCTACATCACCGGCCATGCTCTAGTTATCCTCAGTGGACCGCACAAGCTTTTACAGACCATCTATCTCGATGACGCAGAACCGTCTGACTCTGTCTTGATCGACGAAGCTTCTGGAAGAATTGCGGTCGCTGGGGGGCCGGATATTTCTGTCTTTAAGCCTTGTTGTGTTGGCGATAATACTTGGAAAGTTAGGGCATTCTCTTCATTACTATTTTTCATCTTGGATAACGTTATGAGGGAACCTTCGTTTAAAATATCTGAGCAATTGCTGACTGACATGCCATTTAGTGGAGCCTATGCCACAAACTTCGCGCCCCGAACGATGATGAGCGGATAAATGTGCTGTCATGGGGCGCTGGGGATGAGCTCCTGGCTGGTGGTTCGCGCCTCGTTTTATGGCTCCTCACAGATGATCCGCAAATCATCTGGACGAAAAGCGTCGCAAACCCGGTGAAGTTTGCGCAATTCTCCCATGACGCTAGTTTGATTGCCTCGACGGGTCAATACGATCGTCTGGTCAAGCTATGGAGACGGCTCACGTTCAGTACCGAGGAAGTCCGGTTCGAAGTCTCCTACCTCCCCCACCCGGACGTTGTAACAAGCATGCACTGGCGGCAGCCGCATCATCCGGAACAGACTATGGACAATATTTTTTATACGATATGCGCGGACAATAAGATTCGGGTTTGGGCTCCCATGGATCGGACATGCTCCAAGTCAGCGCTACAGCTTTGGGCGGAGATTGATATGAATGATGCAATTCAGCCGAGACAGCCTCATAACAGCGAGCTTGCAAAAAGGAGATATGGGTTCATAATTGACGCGAGGGATTTTTCTGCTGCTACGGAACGTGCTGTACAGTTAAGGGCTGCAATGGACCAGGATAATCGAGCTCTTGAACATCTTGTTGAAGTGGCAACTAAGAGTCCGGAGGTGTGTATCATCATGGATGACAGAGGACATATGTCTGCTTGGGGTCTTGAGAATGTCGGATGCAAAGCCCGGTCACCAACGAGTGTATTTAATATAACGCATGTTGAGGGGCTGCATCTTTCTTTTGCTTCCGGCATTCCACCGAGCGACGATTATGCTCGATTTTACGGCTTTGCTGGTGGATTATCTGAGGGATCGTTTACGATTTTAGTCCATTACTTTGATGGGAGGATAGAGTGGCTTGTCTCGAAGGTGGAGGTGTTATTTGACCCATCTCCGCGAAAGCAACGGTTGACTTCAAGAGCTGTCTGGTCTGGACATACGGGCTCCATCAAGAAGATCGTACGTAATGCCAGTGGGAAAATTCTGGTTTCGCGTACCGACGACAATAAGGCAATGATCTGGCGACAAAAAGCTTCTAGTTCGGGCCCTGTTCTCGTTCGGCAGAGCTCTCTCTACTCCGATCTGCACATACATCGTACATGTCTGATTGGAGAGGGGAAATTCCTGATCAACCTACACCACCACAGCATTTCACTCTGGGATACCCGTTCGTTCTACGCAGAGAGGATAGCAACATGTGATTTTGGGTTGACGTCCAAACCACTCTGTGTTCTACTTATACCGACTATCGAGACGAATGCCTCAACAGTGTACGTGGCAGCTATTGCTGCCGATATGACTGGAGTCGCTTGGGAAATTGACTTTCCACAGGAGCACGCCGTTGTGAATGGGGCGAATGGATTCCATCGTCCTCATATGCGCCAATTTTGTAAATTTAGCCTTGGTGTGGATGAAGACATAGCGTATATCTTGCCAATTGACCCGGCAGGTTCTTCTATGATGATTTCAGGTTTCCTCGACCTTTTCGCAACTGACATAGCTCTGACTTATACGTATGGCGGGAGAGTTAGGACTTGGACTGCGAAGGTCGATAAACAAAATGAAAAAATTGACTGGCTGCTAACTTCTACAGTTGAGACTGGGATATGTAATCCATCACTCGCCAGTGGTGCCTCAATGCGCAAAGCAGCTATCGTCGACCAAGATCGAACGCGTCTCACTATATGGGATACCTATGGGGCTCAGCTGGAGTTTGAAGAGAAGTTTCCTCAACATGATATCATCAAGGATTTGGATTGGACGTCAACACCGCATACACAATCCATATTGTCTGTTGGATTCCCCCACAAAGTTGTTCTCATGTCTCAGCTACGATATGACTACCTCGATGCTGGACCATCGTGGACACAGATTAGAGAAATCTCGATCCGGGATCTAACACCTCATCCAATTGGTGATTCCTGTTGGCTCGGCAACGGTAATCTTGTCGTTGGGTCTGGCAATCAACTGTTTGTCTATGACAAGCATATTGAACTCAGTAACCGGTTGGTTGCCAATCTTCGACTTCCAGCGCGGCAGATATATGTGGATCTCTTTGGCGTTGTCAGTCGTTTGAATGGTACTCTACCAGTGTTTCATCCGCAGTTTTTGTCACAGTGCATACTTTCCGGGAAGTCAAATCTAGTGCATCTAATCCTTACAAGTCTCTATCGAAAGCTTATCTTTTATACCGAGGGAGATGAACTTGATGGATTCTTGAATATCCCGCTCGAAGATATCTATCAAAATGAAGATGTAAGTGTCTGTGTCTAGTTTTCCATTGGTATATTTGCGGATGAAATCTGACGGCTGGCAACCCTAGGCCATGAAAACGGTCCACTGGAAAGAAATGCCTTCGTCGTATGGCGATTTCACCACTGATTGTGAATCTTCTGTTGTGGACGAGACGCTGGGAACCGCACTAAATGAAAATTTAATGCGAGTTGCACTGCCTCAATTAACAAGTACCGAACAATTCCGCCTTGTAAACATCATTGAGTGTGTAGCAACCGTCGATAAACATCGACGGTCAATGGACGATAATGCTGCGCGGTATCTACTATTCTTCCGCCAACACGTGTTACGGAGAAGCCAAGGACTTCCTGAGCAACCCACTGTTTCATGGCGGGAAATTGTATGGGCGTTACACAGCGACAGTCATGAAATCCTCGTAGATCTCGTCTCTAGGCAATATCAGGGAAAAATGCTTTGGGAGCATGCGAAAGAGAGTGGGATTTTCATGTGGATAACAGATTTAAATTGTTTGGTGAGTAATGAATGGTTTCTTTTTCATTTTTTCTCTTTTAGGGGGCACCTTCGTCTAACTTTTTATTGCGCCTCTTAGCGAGCTCAACTCGAAGTCGTTGCACGCAATGAATATACCAAAAGCGACGAAAAGAACCCCATCGACTGTAGTCTTTATTATCTAGCACTTAGAAAGAAGAGTGTCCTACAGGGCCTTTGGCGAATGGCAGGCTGGAATCGTGAACAGTCTGCCACCCAACGATTATTGAGCAATAATTTTAATGAACCGAGGTGGAAAACGGCGGCACTCAAAAACGCGTATGCATTGCTCGGAAAACGGAGATTTCGTAAGGACACTATTCATATCTTCAATACCTTCCAGAATAATATTGGGAACTATCTTACTAACCAAAAAATATTTGATATATGAATAGCGTACGCTGCTGCTTTCTTTCTACTGGCAGACCACTTGCGTGATGCTGTTTATGTGTGTATGAATCAACTGCAAGATGTGCAGTTGGCTGTAGCGATTGCACGGGCCTACGAGGGAGATGATGGACCGGTACTTAAGGAGATTCTAGAGGAAAGAGTTCTTGTCGACGCTGCTTCCGAGGGTAACCGATGGATGGCTACGTGGGCATTTTGGTTGCTGAATCGACGAGATATAGCTGTACGGACATTGATTGTAAGTCTGCCAATTATTGCCCCTAAGAAAGAAGCAATTATATGCCACCGGGAAACGCGTCAACTAACTATCGTGACCGCAAAGTCGCCCATTGAAACCCTCATCCATTCCACTCCATCCTCCCCCACCAGCCCAGGCACAATTACCCTACGGGCAAAATCATACCTTTCCCACGACCCAGCTCTGGTCATCCTTTACAAACAACTCCGCGATAAGACCTTGCAGACGCTGAAAGGTGCGTCCAAAGTTCCTGCAAGAGACGAATGGGAATTCGTCCTGCGCAACGCTCGGTTGTATGACCGTATGGGCTGCGACCTACTGGGCCTCAACCTTGTGCGCGAATGGGAGTTCCTTAAACCTCCCCCACCTCTCAAGAAAAATCAACCTACACCTCTACCACTTACGCTGCCGGATCTAAGGAAATTGCTGAAGAGGCGAGGCAGCTTGGTTGTGGCTGATATGCCTACTTCACCATCGCTTCAGGAAGAGTCGAAACATCCGATTTCTCCGCACAGTGGAAAGCGCGAAGCACGAACTATGTTTGAGGAGCCAGATCCAAACTCTTTGTTGGATAGTTTTGGTTTTTAATTAACTAATTTCTTATTTAGAGGTATCATCTCGTTGAGGGATCAGCTCAAGGGTTTTATTAGGTTTCCGTGGTGCATTGGCAACGGCGGCGGGTTTTATCATTTAGACATCCATATCTCTTCCCGTTTTACAGGTACACTTTATTTTTTCCTGCTGGCCATACGTGTATGTATACGTATATTCATGTAATTGTAATTGTCTTCATTCATCCAGGATACTATCTTTGTTGCTGGTGATCTGTATTTATGGTGTCATCCGCTTAAAACCGCATTAGTAATCTGTCTCCGCACCTTTGTCATTCTCCTCGTTTATCAACATCAGCCGTGTAAATCTCTCTCTATCTACATAAATATCTCTTGCACAATGGCGGTCCAGATCACCATGGGGGTTAGTGCTTCATCGGACTGTTATAACACATATCTTCGACGAGCCTGACGCTGTGGATATCCGTAGTGTTCTCCGGGATATATCGTTCCTTCGCGCGCAAGGTATTTTTTCTCTTTCTCTTCTTTTTTTTTTTTTTGGGGCGCTCCAGGCCCAAAAAAATTGGCCATGTCAGGTCCAGCACTATCAGACCATGAGCATCCGGAAAGCCACAGTTCCCCTCTGAGACAGTCCCAGTCCCCAGGCTTAAGTTCGTCAAGCTACCGTTCAGAAACGCACATGGAACAAGACAGCAACCATGAAGATGCTGACCCAACCTACCACGACCAGCGAGACCATGGTCGGTTTCCTCATGACTCTGGCGCGGACGGATTGCGAAGCACGAGGACTTCCGCACAGAGCTTCACCGCCCGCTCCCTCCTCATGGGGCCTCGCTATCGGCACCCTTATCACTTTTCTCCAACACGTACTTCGGCCTTCAGACTGGCTGGATCAGTACGATGGCCATGCCTTCATCACTATAGGATTTGCGGCCTTTAAGGCCCTTTCCCGACATCTCTCATTCCCATTTACCCCAATAGAAAACGTTCTGATCCAGACGGTTGCTGGCGCTGTAGGGTCAATGCCACTGGGTTGTGGATTTGTGGGCGTTATACCGTCTATGGAGTTCCTGCTGAGAGATGGTCCTGATGGGGAACGAGGAGCCGATGACGGACAGGGCGAAGGGGGCCCATTGAAACTTCCGTTTGGGAAATTGGTTGTTTGGAGTTTGGGGGTTTGTTTGTTCGGGGTTGTGTTTGCGGTGCCATTACGGAAGGAGGCTATTATTAGGGAGAAGCTGAAGTTTCCAAGCGGGACAGCGACGGCGTTGATGATTAGGGTGCTTCACGGTGGTGGGCAGACAGAGGAGAAGGGAGAAACCGTGGGAATCACTGGCGAATGGAGGAGAAGGTCCAGGCTAGACTCCGGGAATGAACAAGAAAGGACCACATTGCTAGCTCGTGAGGAGCGGGAGGACCCTTCGCATTCGATCTCAAGACTGGCGCATGCTGAGCGGGATGGGAGGAAAGACTGGAAGGCGAAAATTAAATTGTTGACATACGCGTTTGGGATATCCGCATCATATGTAAAGACCATCCAATTCGACTTCTCCTGATATGGATTACTGATATCCTCCCTTAGACACTCGCTTCTTATTTTATCCCACAGCTTCGCGATCTCCCTATTTTCGGGTTTTCGCTTGCGAGCCATTGGTTGTGGACGCTAAATCTTTCCCCAGCGTATATCGGCCAGGGCATAATAATGGGCCCCTCTACGTCGCTGCATATGCTGGCTGGTGCGATTCTGGGATGGGGGATACTTTCTCCGCTTGCCAAGCATCGAGGATGGGCTCCCGGTCCCGTTGATAGCTGGGAAGATGGTAGCAAAGCGTGGATTGTATGGGTCTCGCTTGCTATCATGCTCGCAGACTCGATCATCAACCTTGGCTGGCTCATTCTCCGGTCATTTACCACCTACGGGTCACTTCTTTTACACACCATCACGCGGAAAGATTTCTGGGTCGGCGGTTTCAGACCTTCTCGCGGTAGAAACAGCTATACCGCCATCCTCCCGCCGCACGATAAGGTCAGCGACAAAGAAGATGCCCCACCATCCGAGCTCGTATCCACCAGCACGGTCCTCATCCTCCTCCCTCTCACTTTAGTACTGAACGTCATATGCATGCACATCAGCTTCGGCAACCTCATCACCCCGGCCCTAGCAATTCTCGCGACCCTCCTCGCCCTCCTCCTCTCCGTAATGGGCGTCCGCGCCCTTGGCGAGACGGACCTGAACCCCGTTTCTGGCATCAGCAAACTCACTCAGCTGATCTTCGCAATCGCCACCCCAGCGTCGAGCCACACACGCCGCACGGCCGTCGTCACGAACCTCCTTGCAGGTGCCGTATCCGAAGCCGGCGCCCTACAGGCCGGTGACATGATGCAGGATCTAAAAACGGGTCATCTGCTCGGCGCCAGCCCCAAAGCGCAGTTCTACGGCCAGCTGATTGGCAGCCTGTTCGGCGCCGTGGCCTCCGCCGCCGTGTACAAATTGTACATCACCGTCTACGACGTGCCCGGCCCCATGTTCCAGGTGCCGACGGCGTACGTGTGGATATTCACCGCGCGGCTCGTGACGGGCCAGGGCCTGCCGGAGATGGCGTGGCAGACGGCCACGATTGCCGGCGTGGTGTTTGCGGTCATCACCGTTGTGAGAATCATGGGTGCGAAGCGCGGGAAGGACGGTGCCAGCGCACCGTGGCGCCCGTGGATACCGGGCGGCATTGCTGTTGCTGTTGGTATGTATAATGTGCCCTCGTTCACGCTGGCGAGGGCGATTGGTGGCGTTATCGTCTTGTGGTGGGGCTGGGTGGAACGACGACAACAAGAACAAGAAGAACAACCACGCAGTCAACTGTGGTGGTGGAGGTGGGGATGGTGGTCTTCGGGGAATGGCGCTGTCGATGATGATGATGGCGACGATACGAATGCGTTACCCTCTGGCGTACAACGATCGTTTGCCGTCAAAAGCAACGATGGCAAGCAGCGTGATGGAGCAGGGATAGACCGCGACGGCGATCCTGACGGCGGGTCGACGGTGGTGATTCTAGCTTCCGGGCTCATATTGGGGGAGGGTGTGGTGAGTATTATCAATCTGGCCTTGGCCAGCGCTGGAGTTCCACATTTGTGATAGATATGTGCCTGATGTAAATATTTACTAAAGAGATATACCCGTCAATGACTTATTCTTTTTCTTTTTCTTTTCTTTTCTTTTCTTTTCTTTTTTTGCCTTTTCTGATTTCTAGAAGCCTCACGCCCTCACTACTTCCATCACCACCAAGAAGGAACAAGAAACGGTCATAACTAGATAACTAAGTAAGCCAGACTGCCTGCACACAGTCACATTCATTCATCTGAGGCATGACATTGGAAAACACACACACACACACACACACAGATATATATCTATAGAAACAAGCCAGGGAGTAAGAATTGTATTAGGAAAGAAAACCTAGAAATCTAGAGAAAAAGCTATCTTGTCCATATCCAAGCGGGCAAAACACTGTACTACTATACCAGTACACACACTTCTGGAAAGATCTTTGACTGTCCGAGAATCCCGACACACACACATATTTATACACAAAAGTCTTAATTACCTGGGTTCCCCCTGAATACGTATGTATACTTATACTTGTACTCGTATCGAGGGCAAAGGAGATACATACGTACATACATACATATATGATTCTGGGACAGGAGGAAAAGAAAATATACGATGAAGAAAAGTAAGAAGTGAAGAAAAAAAGAAAAAAAAACAAGAAAATTGTTTTTCAAGAAAAGTTCGAAAAAATTATTTCCTCGGGAAGCATCCAAAAAAAAAAAAAAAAAAGGGTAACAAAATACAGGGAGTAACGAAGAGGGCAAGGGATGGTAAGGGCAAGGGGGGGTACGAGGGGTAAGGGAAAAAAACGTTAAGATAAATGAAAGGGGAAAATTCGAGAAGTCAAAAGAAAAAAAATCCAAGCAAAAAAAAGGGCCAGATGTAATCTGGTATCAATTCATAGCCGAGTTGATCGAGAGTATATATGTATAGTAACAAATTGAACACCCATGATCCTGGTTGGGTTTGTGGGGAGGGGAGGACTTTTCCTTTCGAATTGAAAGACGGCAATGATTTTATTGAATGGAAGAGAAAAAATTTCCGGGGGGGCCCTTTTTTGAAGATTTTGTTTTCTTTTTTCTCTTCCCCCCCTTTCCTTTGTTTTTATTTTTGGGCTTTGCTCTCTCCCAAATTAATTACCTTTCTTTCACAACAGCAAAAACAACGATAAACAACAATAACAGCAAACGAAGAGGGGACGTCGTTCCTCAGAGACATTACTTATTTCATTCCCTGTTACAGTCGCATTTATTCATTTTCCGGCTTCGCTTGATTCGGAAGAGGTTTTCGCTCAATAGGCCCTGTCGGCATCGGAGGGCTGCGAGATGGCTTTGGTGTTGCGGGCGCCGCTGCTACTGCGGGTGCTGATGTTGGCGCCGGTGCTGACACCTGATGTTTTTGCATTGGTGCCTGAGTCTGCACTTGCACTTGCGGTTGCTGCACTGGTGGTTGTGGTTTTGGTTGTTGCTGTTGTTGCGGCAGCATCGATTGAGCGGGGACACCTGGTGACTGTTGTGAATACCCTCCGAACCCAGCTGTGGCAGATGGCAGCGCAAATTGCTGTTGTTGTTGCCGTTGCTGACCCTGACCTTGTGGCGCTAGTGGTGCGGCATTATTGCCAGGCCTCATAGCAGCGCTTGTGCTATGGCTCCTCCGCCTATGCGCGGACGCAGACATGTGTGGCCTAGTCATGCCTCCAGGACCGTAGGGGCCGGGGCTCATGGAGCGCGGCTGAGGGATGCGTCCGGGACCGGGTGAGAGGGAGCGTGGCACCGGCGGGAACCTGGCGGGGGACATTGAACGGCCGCTCTGGTGGTGCGGATGGTTAGGATGGTGCGGGTGCGGATGTGGTGACTGGGGCGGGAATGTGCGGTAGCTGGATTGGGCGGGAGATGCTGGGGATGCCGGACGGCCGTTTGCAGGCGGTTGGAAGCGGGGGGTTGAGGGCCCGCTTTGGTTGGGGTTCGGCCCGTGGTAGGATATTTGGCTACTCATGGACATGGAGCGGCCACCGTCCGACGGGTAAGAGCCATGATGGTGGCCCATTGGTGGTGGGCCGCGGGGCCCGGGACTACCCTGACCACTAGATTGGTTACGGGGGCGGGGGCGGACTGGGCGGGACGAAAGGCAGGTTCGTGGGACCACGCCTTGACCAGAACGGTCGAGACGGACGCAGAGAGCCTATTCCTTGAAGTTAGAATTAAAAATATATATGTAAGGAACAGAAAGGGAAATGAATGAAACGTACCCAGCCATCGTCATATTCATGAACAAGACGTACAAGTTGTCCAGCTCTAAGTTCGAGTTCATCCTCCATTGAAGGGACAAAGTCCAGCTGGACGCGATGAACGTTAAGGGGTCCGGCCGCGCCTGCACCTGCACCTGCACCAGCACCAGCAACTGCAGCAGCTGTGGCAGAGTCCATGCTTATGGCGGGACTGTCTGGTGGAGGCGCATCACTTGCAGGACCTGGGCCGCCGAGTGGTAGTGCTTGGGGCTTGCCATCGTTCAAGCTACGGCGAACAGCAACGGCGCCAACAGCTCCAGCGGCAACGGCAGTGCCTACCGCAGCCACACCGGTACCCATGGTTTCTGGCGAAGGGTTATCGATATCTGAAATGGCAGGCGATGGCATATGGTCATTTGGCCCCATAGGGGCGGGCGTTGCAGGCGTTGGAGGCAATGATGTGGGCGGCGGGCTATCGAATGGATTCACCGGGTCGTTGAAGGGATTGGGATCATTATTGGACATTTTTGGTGGCGGTGCTGGCTTCTCTCCAGTAAGGTTGCGCGCAGCACCAGCTGCAACAACAACAGCGGCAGCTGAGCTAGGGGCAAGGCCCCCACCAAATGCATTTCCTGTCGTGGTGGGGCCTGCGCCAAAGTCGGGAGAAAACTGGGTAATCGGTCGAATGTTGAGCTGGGGAGCCGTTGGAGATGTCAAGGTTCGCGTTATTGAGGGAGGATCATAGCTGCCATTCGTAGGACCGGGACCAGAACCTGAACTGGCTGCAGCGCCAAATGGCTTTTCATTATCAAAGCGGGCCAATTCTGCTTTATCCTGTCGCTTCTTTTTCCGGATGAAAAACAACGCAGCGCCTGCAATCAAGCCCACGAGCAGGATGATTCCAATGGCCAATCCTGCCTTTGCGCCACCGGACATGCCACCGGAACCACTGGAGGAGGGGATCCCAGTTGGAGCGTCGGTTCCTTTTTGGCGCAGCTCAAACCCAGTGGGCGAACTGATGGGATCCGCATTGTCCGACGGTGATGTGGCCATAGTAGTTTGGGATGGCTTGCTGGGTTGCGAAGCATTCTTTGTCATCTTGGGTCGGTCAATTGGTGTAGAGGTTGGCGAAGTGCCTTTAGGCGTAGACCTGGGAGAGCCATTCTGCGGACGCCTGGTGGGACGAACCTGTGGGTGCCTCGTGGCTCGCATGGGAGGCCCCACGCCTGGAGTGCGTTGAGTGTAAAACCCACCGATGGGGCCTTCGAAGTCTGGAGGGAGTGTCACAAAAACGACATCAGGTGAAGGACGTTTCTGTTTCTTGGCCAGTTCCCTGCTGTGGGCGGCGTTGTGTCCATGTTTACGATGAGACATTGTGATGATAGGCGACGTGAGGTTGATATTAATACGACCCCCAGACAGATGTAGGCCGATATACAAAGAATGAAGGGAATGAATGAAACCGACGTAGTTTGCAGCAAACCAGTGCGCGCGCGAAGGTCGAAGAGGAATTTGTGACGTTGGTCAGGGCGAGGACGATCGACGATGGTGTCGATCTATATCGAAATAATTACATGAACAAACAAACCGATCGTATGTGTGAAATCGTAAAAAGGAATCAAAAAATCAAAAATCAAAGAAAACCAAAAAACCCGAGCAGCGAGCTTAGATGATTGTCCGTCCGTCCAGGTACAGTAGTCCAAACTTCTCCCGTGGAGGAAGAGCCGTCTGGGGAATGGGGAATGACTGTGGGAACCTGACTTGTATGACTCGCGAAGAGCGAGAAGAAAGAAAGACAACGAGCAACCAGGCAAGCAACAAGCAATGAATGAATGAATGAATGAATATTCGAATGGAAAGGAACGTGGGGAGGGAAAGATAGACGGGGCCTTCAAAACGGAGCAGGGGACGGGAGGTGAGAGAGAGGTGAGAGGAGAGGAGAAGAGAGGACAAGGGACTCAGGCAAGCGACAGGGATCGCAGGCTGAGCCAGCCAAGGACCGGCTGCCGGCGGGCGAAATGACGAGCAACATCTTCAAGCGAGGGCTCAACAGTGACGGGAAACGACTCCACAGCCATCGCCATGCCCAATGCTCACACGCTGAGCAATGAGACACGATCCAGATGGTGGGAGTGCTTCTTTCTTCTTCGTCGACTGGAATCCTCCCCAGCAAACAGTGGGTTCTGATCGTTCTGATCACACAGGAAACAGAGCAAAACAAAGTACCCGAAGCAAAAACAGCCAGCCAGTCAGGCCGCTGTTGTCGTCCTTCGTTCATCTCCCCTTCAAGTTCGCGCGCTCGTTTCTGGTGCATCTCAAACAGGCCGGTCCTGTCAGCCAACGAACTCCATGGCTGGGAAGAGGGCAGTCCACCGGCCCCGCCTCTCTAGCCTGCTTCGGGCATTGGCGCCAGGTACCTAAATTTTAAACTGGGCCCACTCAGGGGCACCTTGGACAAGGTAGCTCGTATTCGTCCTGGCTGGTTGTTGGGACGGGATCAGAGGGCGAAGAGATCTGGCGAGTAATAATCTTGAGTCGTTTTCCTTTTATGATCTGGTTGTTTGCCGGTTCGCTGTTCCTGTTGCAGGGACCCCTTCGGCCCTGATTATGTATTGTTGAATGCACCGGGTTCTTGTTTGAAGTTCGAGGTTGGAAGTATGAAGAACCCGTGATGGTGATGTGCTGGGACAGGCTGACGAGATCTGTTCCTTGCTGACGGCGAGCAGGATGACAATATTGGACGGCAAGCCCTGCACCCTTGGTCCACCTCAGGATAAGGGCAGAGGAAACTATCATCCTTCTCCCTCTGCTTCTCCCTCTGCTTCTTCCTCTTCTTCTTATCGATGTTGCACCGCCACCCGTCGTCATTTTTTTTTTTTTTTCGTTCCGCAAGTATTGACGAATGCATGTAACCACACGAATGTATGGTTGCATGAACATCTCGCCAACCCGGCCCCAGTCGAGCAAAGGATCGACGCGTGCTGACACCAGGACAAGGGTGCATCAACCTGGATGCTGCTGCGATCATGAACACCTCATCTTTCATTCCATCTGATGCCGCGGGGCTCCGGGGCCTGGCATTCTCTAGGGCACTTAACAATCTATAGAGAGAGGGTTTTGCAAAAGTTCGTTCCTGCCCTAGTAAATTACCTTGAATTTATATTTCACATCGTGGAAATGCTAATAACAGGCTTCCTGCCTTGGAACCATGTGTAAGGTTTTAGTTATAGATGCCGAGTAAATCACCTGTAGAACCCCCTGAAAAAGTAGGCATCAATGAGCATAGCTAACAGCCACTTGTGAAATGATTACCATCGAACTTACGAGTGTGAGAATGCACTTTTCAAGTGCATTTCCCGTACTCCGTATGTCATGCAATGTAATATCACGAAATAAATCCATACAACCCTAGTGGCTTCTGGCCGTGTGTAATTTAATATCCACAGGCGCCAAACAACGACGCGAAATAAAAACAAAGCAGAACAAAAAAGGTAAAAATTCCCCGTGTGACCTGTTATTGGGCTGGTTTCAGCTCCACTTTTCTCGAGAAATGTTCGCGATCACATCCTGCGAAAGTTAAATAAACAACCATCCAAAAAAATACTATTCTGTATATGGGAGTTGAGATACATTTTTCTTTTGATGATTCTCAAGTGCCAATCCAAGAGAGGCGGAAACGGAGCTTTCGCCGGATGAGATACGGTGGGAGAAATGGAGTGCACAGCCAGCAGGAAGCAGCAGCGGGTAAGAAGAAGAGAAGCAGAATGATGAATGATTATGGCAGAAATGAATCTTCAGAACTTATGATGTAAATGAGTATATGTCCGCGGTACGATTCCATTGTTTGCTAAGGGGGAAAAAGTAAAAAAGAAAAAAAGGAAAGCAGCCCCCTGCCCTGGCTGATAAACCTCGACATTATCAGGTCGGATTATCTATCCGTCTGGATAATCTGTTATTGCTTCACACTTGTCTCGAAGCTCAAGTACGGATGTTCCAAAGCCTATGATATGATTATCATGTTTTTTTTTTTTGCCTTGTTAGCTGCGTTCTCGACGCTTACGTGTTTGCTATATCCTAAGCGATTGAGCATATATATATATATATATATATATGTGCAGCGCCAGGTTATAAGTATTGGCAACCCTCACGGCTTTTTTGCCACAAAAAGGCACCATGATTGGAGTGGGGTTTGTCAATACTTATTGCGGGCACTGTATATATGTATATTGCATCTCCCAATCTAATATCAAAACATATAAAAGAAAGGGATAAGATGGGAATGCTCTCTTTATCTTATCTTCTTTTCCTTTCTTATGGTTGTCCACGTACCTCAGCAGCTGACAGCCTCTCGCTACTCTCATACTGCACCAGTTTACTGACCAGATCGCGCCCGTTGGATGATGCGCCGCTTAGTATTTCCGTCCACGGTTTCGGTGGATATTCCTTGAACTGTATCTTTCCCCAATCGGGAAGGGTTTTGTTTGACTTTTTTTATTTATTGCGTGTGTTGTGTTTCACGGGTTGGGCTGTTGTTAGCTTCCCGTTTTCCAAAAGCAGATGAATGGAAGTGAAATACGCACGAGAGATAATACGAGAGAGACGATGGGTAAACGACAAATCTACCCAGTATCAAAAAAGGGAAACAAACTCACAGGCCATGACTCTCCATTCGGCGTCCCCAGCTTCACAAAAATCGACTGCAACAACGCCAGTTCACTCCCCAACTCCCCCGCATCAAAAAGTGGACAGTGGTTGATATCCATCGCCTCCGCAACCACGCAGCCAGCCGCCCACATATCAAGGCTAGTGCCGTACCTCTTATCCCCAAACAGGATCTCAGGAGGCCGGTAGCACGTCGTGCCCACATCGGAGATTTTCTTAGCCGCGTCTTCAGAGCCCTCGTCGGCGGGTGACCAGGCGATTCCAAAATCGGCCAAATACGCCGGCCCGTTCGGGTCGCGCAGGAGGATGTTCGACGGCTTGACGTCCCGATGGATGATCCCCTGTGAATGGACGTAGGCGAGCGCGCGGAAGAGATCTCGCAGGTGCTGCCGGATTTGATGCGCCGAGAGCACGTTGCGGTGCAGCAGCTCATCGAAGTGTAAGGGCATGAATGGGAAGACGAGGATGAAGTGGCCGCCTGGTTCGGTGAAGGTGTCGAGCAGTGGGATGACGTTGGGGTCTGAAAGGGCGCTGAGGATTCGCGCTTCGCGTTTCGAGTCGTGTGGCGGTGACATCATATGCGGCGTGGTCAGCTTAAGCGCCACGGTTGCTCCCGTGCTTGTTTTCGCTTTGTATACCACGGAGAATATGCCTTCTTGGTGGTATATGGCGTTCTCGTACGGGCCGATTTTTTTCCCGCCAGAGGCCGGGGGAGAGTGCGTGTCTGGCGCTTCATTTACATTTTCATCGTCAATGGCGTCGGGCACATTGATAGGGAAGGCGGGCTGCTCTCGATTATCCAGGTCGTCAATGGCCTTTTGACATTCGGATTGATACTGTTCCTGTGGATGATATCGTTATTTTCAAGTTTCTCTCTCTCCCTCTCTCTTTTTTTTCCCCCTCGCCTTTCTTATGTTTCGGACCAGGAGGAGAAAAACGTACTTTACTTGGAGCCTGGCTGAAAGCATTATTTTCTAGCTTCGTTGCCTCTGCATGAGCTTCCGAGAAATTGTCGGACGGCACCGCGCGTTGGTACGCCGCAATTCTTTTCACCGTGGATAGTTGATAGCCTGTAGTTGAGCACAGCTGTTACCCCGTCAGAGACATCGAGTGAAGGTTCCAAGAACTTACATTAATCTTAGATTCGATAAGCGATCTGCAAACCCGATATCCGACTTCCAGCCAGAATTGGATGTCATTTTTGTGTTTCGCTCTTCAATTTTGCTTCAATTTTGCTTTTGTAGCGTGATATGTCTAGCGGGATGGCTTCGGGTGCGGGGGAGTGTTAGTCGCGTAGCGCGAATCATAAAAGTATAACTGGCATGAGAATCATGAGCTGTGGCATCCGTAAGGCCATAGGGCTTCTTCTTTAACGAACATCGATGTGTCATTTGAGAATTGCAATCGTACGCCAGTCCGACGAATAAACAAAGGTCTATCTCATTTTCATTTTGATGGACTAGAGAAAAGGGGACATCCGTGGATAAATATAAATGTCACGTGATAATGTCATTACCTCGTCTTGGCGCGTTCCCGATCGGGCAAAGGAGAACTGCTTCCTCCAACTTCCTCTCCATCACCATCATCCTCCGACCACAGTTCGGAGTGGCCCTCCTGCTATCTTCCCCCGTTCTTTTCTTTTACTTTTGCTCTACGCGATTGCATTTGCATTTGCATATCCTTGCTGTGCGTTGCTACGCTCGCATAAATTTGTCAGATATGTTTTTATAGATTGTACCGGCTTCGCGGGATTCGTCATCGGATTGATACCGTGTATTGATCATGGAATTGTCGCGACAAGAGTATCCGGCAATTGTGGTGAGCAAAAATGCCTCTGGGAACGAGATATGTTTGGTTTGCTTGTGTGTTTTGTCGGCTGGACGTTGCTAATGAACAATGCTTTGGTTAATAGCCCTCGTTAAGCCCTACCCATGCTTCATCCGTCCTTACCGAACGCATACGATTGATTAACAAGATAAATTCAGATATTGCGGACTGGCTTTCGGTACTGTTCCCCCTCGCCTGTTATTTTTAATTTTTAATTTTTTTGTCGGATCTCAATGGAGCGCTATTGAGCAGAACTTATATCGAGTGCGAACTTACAACTTAACCTAGGAACGGCGACGAGTGGAAGATGCATATGTTTTGGGTCTTCGGAGGCTCGCGCGACGGCCACTGCAAGATGGTTCCGCAGCGTTGGGGTAAGCATTTAGCCCAGCGGTGCGACGTTGATCATTAAATAGGTTGTTAATCGGGATTTTTGTTCCTCTTAGAGTTTTTCAAACTCCTTGGCAACGCATCCTTGCTGCTACTGAAATTTTAGCCGAGTCCCATGAGACCCTTTCGCATGCGATCGAGGTGGACGTTGAGAGGCCTTTGAAGGAATATGCTAGCAGGAATAGTGATATGAAATCCCTCTCAACCATGCAGCAGGAGCTATCGAATCTGGCCAAGGAAGTTGAATCTGCGAAGAAGAAGGCCGACAAATTAAAAGACAAGGGTCCGAAGGCTGCTGCAAAAAACTCGAGTGCCGTTTCCGCTGCGCAGGAGATGGCACAACAATGGGAATCGAGAGCGCCTTTTGTCTTTGAACAGCTCCAGGCTGTTGACGAACACCGCCTGAACCACCTCAGAGACCTTCTCACCCAGTACGAGACTCATGAGTCAGATCATATCGAAAGAACAAGACGATCCACTGAGAGTTGCCTTAACGCGCTATTAAACGTTCAGACCGACGAAGAGATCAGGGCGTTTATGACAAAGGCAACGGGTGGAAGGGCCTTTGTATCGAGAACATCGAATGCTCCTGCGACTACTTCACCCCCATCATCTAGGCCGGATCCAATGGCAGTAGCAGCATCAACAGCGGCAGGGCCTTTACCTCCGCCTCCTAGAATTCATGACGATGCGTCCAGCGAGCGTTCCGGTCGGTCGAATCAAGATAGACTTGGCCCTGGTGAGTAAATCACTTTTCGGCACTGAGATCGCTGTGGAAAAGAAAAAAAAATCTAACCAACAAATAGCACCAGAGCCAGTTGCTCATATGAGGCTTGGTGGCCTGAAGCGTTTGGGTACTGTCATGGGCCGAAGAAAGAGCGTTGTACATCATTCAACTGGGAGCGCAAGTTCTCCAGAGAGGAAATTCCGGTCTCCATTCACGGCGTTCCGAAAACCGGAAGCGACTCGAAACTTTCACCCAGTCGATATGCAGCCTAACGCTGGCGATTATCTAGCGCCTATTTCTTCGAGGGATGATCCGTCACTGCGCCGTCCTGCTTCCTCGCCTCGAGGGACGGCTCGCAGCGAGTCGATTTCAGCGTCGCATCAGCGGCCAGCGACTCCCAACGGTGCTGTTTCTCCCGATGAGAAAACCGAACAAGAGATTCCCTCGAAGGAGGTCAACTCCTCGGACCAAGCGTCAACCCCAGCCCAAGTATGATGATTACTTTCTCAAATTTCACGCTCTGTTTTGCTGACTTTCTATAGCCACCTAAGATAGACGTTGAGGGATATTCCGAACGGCCAGATAGTCTTGACGAAATATCTCGAATTCGAAGAGAAGCTGAAGCGTATGTTTCCTCTCTACTTTTCGAGGGTTTTCAACTGACTTACAGACGATTAGCACCGAAGAGCCCGGTCTTAACCTCACCATCCGTGACCAACCTATCGAGGAGGACGAAAGCGAAGCGAAAATGGCTTTGAACGAGGTGGCGAATACCTTGCGATTGGTGAGTCGAGTCGTTGCTCGCTATTTAGACACTACGAAGCTGACTCAATGTTATAGAAAGCACAGCAATCAGGCCTATCTCGTGGGGTTGGAACATTGCGTGGGCGTCGAGACGTTAGAAACACCATTTTTGTCCCAAATCAACCTGGCGAAGATTCAGGCTCGGGCCCAGTTCCTGGCCTAGTTGCTGGACCAGCTCCTGTCACGCCATCGTATACTCCTAGGACTGTGACATCTCCTGGAAGTCACGATGACCATACCTTGTCCGATACAACATCAATCAATTCATCACAAACCCTCCATAGTCTTTCCGGGCCTGTTTCACATCCTGATATGCCCGAACCTGGCCTCAACGCATCCATCGTGGAAACGGTCAGTGCTTGGTTTTCTGACGGCGTAGTGACCCGTTCCTTCGTCGTGGGAGAATTGGCTATGACGTATAACTCGACCGTCAACGCCCCTTCTGATTCTACGCTTGTCCGCCTAAATAATTTCCACATTTTAGAAAAGGTTGCGGCCAACCCTGTCCTCGCTACAGAAGTCGGGAATTCCTTAAAAGGCAAGGAGAAGGAAAAGGAGCTCGGCGACGAGGAGAGGAAAGGAGAGTATCTGATATCGCTTCCAACTATCGCACGTCCGACTCCTACGGTTGCTTTTAAATATCAAGTACATCTCGATCCTTCTAATTTATCTGCCTATTCACCAGTTATATTTAACCCTGTTTGGAATTTGGAAGAATTCCAAGCCAGCGTTATCATTACTTACTCAATAAACCCCAATTTCGTTTCTGCAATGCCATCCACACGTATCACACTTCAGAATCTTGTTCTCACTGTCAACCTGGACCTATCCCCGCAAGAAGACGAAACTACCAAACAGCCACGAGAAGTTGCTCGGGCTACGGGAGCAGTTATGTATCCAAATACCGGCGCTACATTCCGTCGCAAGATATCAGCCGTAACATGGAAACTACCAGAATTGGAAATAGGCAGCGAAGGCGACCAACGATTCCTCGCTCGATTTTCAACCACAGTAAGTGGGCCTCGGAAGGGGAAAGTCGATGCCAAATTCGATGTCACGAATGCCAACAATGGAGAAAGATTGGGTATCAGTGTTCAAAATTCCACCAGCGAGCAGAAGGAGAAGAAGGCTGACGACCCCTTTGCCGATGAGTCTCTGGTGATGAGTAATGGGGCGACTTCACCTGAACACTTGCCCACCTCGAAGACATGGGAAGAAGTGCCCACACGACGAAAACTGGCAGCTGGGCGGTATACCTCTGTTGATTAAAAAAATCCTGCTTTCTTTTTTTTCTTTGTTATTTTCTTCTGCATCAATGCTATTTGTTCCGTTTCGCCAATGTCGAGATTCAGAATGAGCGACATGATCGTCTTCAACATGTTTCGCCGTACGAAGCCGTCCTTCCCACTATCATGTGCACATCGTTGCAGCAAAAATATTTTTTGTCTGGAAAAATCTCCTTTGATCGAGGATACAAATCCTAATCGTAAAACCACCGAGTGATGTGGGAAATTTTGCATCCTTCAGGAGAGAATCGGGTTTAACGGAAAGCATATTGGACGGAACAATAAAGAATTCCCCTCATACCCCTGTCTTTGTTTAATGCGCATCACCACGCATTTGAGCCACATTATTATCCTCTGGTTATACTTTTGTTCTTTGGCTTTTTATTCCCTGGTTTTTCTCTCCTTTCCTTTCCTTTCCTTTTTGATTTTCGGCTTGTCACTTTCGAACTTGCTAAAGCATGAAGATTTAATTTGAGTAAAATTAATCTTTAACTGCCACAAGTTTTTTCTTGGGCCATTTTTCACCATTCCCTCTTTCCCCTCCACCATTCTTGTAGGTATTGGCTAATCCTCATTTTTTTTTTTTTTTTTTTTTTTTTTTTTTTTGTTGTTGTTCTTCCACATCCATCACTTTCTCTCCTCGCATCTCCCTCCTTTTTGTTTCTTTTGTAGTCCGACGTTTATGTAATAAAAATTAATAACTATGCCTACCTATATAGGGAAAAACACAAAACAGGCCACGGTCCTGATATTTCCTACATGATATCAAATGTGTGTGAACATGAACCGTTGATTTAGAAGAGATTAAATTGTGCTTGAACGCCGTGGCGTTCGTCATAACTTGTATAGTCAGTGCAAAGATAAAGATAACTAGCTGACATATTCAGGGACCATGGGGCTAAAAGCATCCCGAACAAAACTTTCCATAAATCTTAAATATTAACTTTATGGAACCCAAGAAAGGGCTAGGGTTAAAGGGACTATTGACTGGCTGTTGGATAAAAAAACACAGCAATCTATCTGAATGGTGAAAACGTTGCAGGCGGGATCAAAAAGCGGGCTATCCGCTAAATCAAAGAACAATGTAATTCAGGTCATAGCAATAAACCGCGTGGGAATCAAGAGACCCAAAAAAGAAGAGTAAAAAAAAAAAAGGTCACTGATTATTATACATCTCGAAATCTCACACTCTCGCAGCCCTCGTCGTCTTGTCATAAAAGTCAAGCGTCATGGCCGCCAGGAAACAAGGGATATCCTTCCGCTCCTCCACCCAAAACTTGATCAGATTCCGAATCTCCATAGCAAATAGACTGTTCGGACCACCCGAGATCTTCATCGTGCCATTTTCGCCATCAAAGATTATGGAATTCTCCTCTCCATCACCCATGCTCCCAGGGCCCCGCGCATCGGGAGATGCATCACGATCTCCGTGTCTGTAGGCTGGAGACAGATGGAACATAGATGTCACGCGGACGCGGCCATTGGGCAAAAAGTCAAGCTTGTACCCAAGAACTGACGCCACGGCTTCCCGGAATTCGGACGATTTTGCAGTCCATATCTCCTTTAAGCGTCGCATACGTTTCTCCTTTTCCGCAACGGTCTTCTCCATCTCGCGGAGCTCCAGCTCTTTGCTCTCGAGGGTGGAGACGGGTACCACTTTGACGTTCGAGCGCTCGTTGCGCAGCTGAGTCAGAAGGTCGCGATTCTCCGCGCGGAGGACCGCAAGAGTGGACAGTTTGACTTTCTCAGCTTCTGCAGTGGGGTTGGAGCGGAGTTCAAGGATGCGTGTTCGGGATTGGGCTTGGAGAGTGGATAGGTGGGATTTCACAGCCTCGAGTTCGCGTGTGCGTAATTCTATTGATTGTTCGGCTTTTGAAAGGCTGTCTTGCAGAGTGCGGTTTTTCCGGGTGAGTACAGCGAGCCTCTCATTTTCTGCGTCACTATCCGCTGGCGACAGAGGGCGTTTAGTTCCGCGTGGAGCATTGGGATCCTCTGCGGGTGACTTTTCTTGTTTTGATAGCTCTTCATGGAGCTTATGAAGTTCTTCACGATGCTCGCTGAGGAGGTTTTCAAGGTGAGCTATGTGGTCAGACTTTTGCTGATCCAAGTTGGACTCGTCCGGGTTCATCGTGGTTTCTTCTTTGTCGAAAGTTTTTAGCTGTGCACGGAGATATTCCACTTCTCTCATTGCTAGTGTGCGTTGGCGTTCTAATCGAGTCTTCGCACGAGAATCAAAGCTATTTCCAACGGAGCCACCTGCACGTAGTTTTGCGATCTCTTTTTGAAGATTCGATTTCTCCGTTTCCAGGTTTTGTACCAACTCAGCCTTTTCGGCTACCTCGGTTTGAATAGTGCCCACTTTATTAAGCAGCGATGCATTTTCAATGCGCGCTTGGACAAGAGCTCGTGCAACCTCTTCCGGGGACTCGAATTCAGGATCTTGGCCGTCCGGCTGTAGCAAATTGGTCCAAGACCTCCGTTCATCCTCCAAAACTTGATTTTGGATTTGCACGTTCCTAAGCTCCACCTCCACCTCTTCCATTAGATGCAACCGGTTCTCAAGTGCCTTTTTCTGTTCCTCCACTACCTCAACATTTTTATGTGATTTCCGTAGTGGCCGTAATTCGGCTTCCAAACGCTTGACATAGGCTAATTGCTCCGAAAGTTCGCGTTTTAGAACATTGAGAGTCTCCGAATCAGCTCCTTCAGATTTTAACCTTATATTCTCACTTTCGAGAGCCCCAGCATCGGCTTCCCTTTGAGTTAATTTATCCTGAACGATCTGCAGGCTTTCTTTCGTCCGGTGAAGGTCGGTCTGAACTTCGTCAAGGGTTTTCTGAAGCGATGATCGAATTGCGTCCAATTCATTAATCTGATGCTTAAATTGCCGTTCCTGGTCCGACAGCTGGGATTGGGCATCAGCGATCTCTTCCTGGAGCGACCGGTTATGATCCTCCAAACTTCGTATTTGTTTATCAAAAGCTGCCTTCTCATTGATCGTAGATTCCTGTACCGTTTTTAGCTCGGTTGCGAGCGCCTCGATTTTATGCTGGGCTTTGTTACTACTGCTCTCTGCTGCCTAATTTGAGGGCGCGTGTTGTTAGACTTGTGTTGAAACTGAGAATTCAGATTGCTCGCTGTCGAAAAAAAAGAGAAGAAAAGAATATCCAACCTGTGCCCTTCTAAAGTCAGCATCCGCTCTAATTTGTAATTCGCGAAGTCCCTTCTCATGGTGAAGAGCTGTAAGATCACGCTCCTGTTTCAAATTGTCTAGCTCATATCGCAAAGTGCTAATTTGCACGCGTAGCTCCTCGTTTCCGGCATCTACCACTCGCTTATCAACGACTTGTTCAATTTCAATATACAGGAATATCGCAAGAGGTGAAACTGACCTGGTTTTGGTGGCTTCCCAGAGAGGATACTCTGTCTGAATGACGCATTTCCACTACCACCACCACCACCGCTAGCAGAGGACAGAGACGGCGACGAAGCTCCGGCTATAAAATCGTACGACGGCTGGGTGGTATTGAACCTGCTAGTATTCATCTGGAGTAGTTAGTTTGACTTTGGTCAGCTTAATTTCTTTCCGAGCGACGAAGAATGAGAACACATTCTGTTTATTTTGACATTATATGCCGCGACGTATTCAGTGGGTGAAACAGGAACATCTGATCAGGTCTCCCACATGAATCACGACGGGGAATATCAGAGGTCTGGAATACATTAAAAGTAGTCTCTTACCTTGATCGTCAAGCCAGCATATCCTAAGAAGTTGGATAGCTGCCCTCAGTCCGCCATCAAATGGATCCCCTGCTCCTTCGATGAGTCGTGAAATCATCGCGCAAAGAATACAAACTCCAAACTCTTCACCAGCCACAGCTGCTTATGTCATTCAACTCAGGCTTGGTTGGGGCGGAACACTCCACCGCGGCTCCGCCATCTTATTTCAACCTCCTTTCCATGGGTCACTGGTACCCTTGGTCCGGAGCAGAAACTGTTAAGACTACACCGTGTTAAAATGGAACTGAGAACACATGGCCTTAAAGATGGGCCGTTTACCCTGGTGGCCAAAGTGCGAACTTCACCAAAACAAATACCATGGAAACACTGAATCCAGAGCGTTTGAGAAGCACAGCCCGATATCTGTTTGCAATCAATAACTAATGGAGATTATTAGAAACGCCCTTTCAGGGGCCCAGAAAATAACCCAGAAAATGCATTATCATCCACTGAATCATTATCGATCTTGATCTAGGCGCGGTGCCGTGCGCCGCGCATCCAGCCCGGATCCTCAATCAAAGCTGCCCGGTTGTATCAATGGCAGAATGGGAGCCAGAACTGACCCCTGAAACAGCCGCTCGGATTGGCGGATCATTGCCGAAACAGGATACAGATGTAGAGCCACATCATGCACTGGAACCAGCCAGACCATGGCCACTGATCGATGATGCCAAATTCATATCTTCCACCACAACAAACTTTCTTTCTGGAGGCCATGTGAAGAGCTTCCCTCTGGGGTCAAGTTACCAAGTTGATTGATCACCCCACACCATGCGGCCAGATGTTCAAAGATGTTCTTCCGAGGTATCCGATACACAGTTCATATCTAGGTTTTATATACCAACCTCCAGCCATACATGCGAACCCCTAGGGCCCTCTTTTTTTGACATGCTTTGCTTGCCTTTCGGCTGTGTTCGTTTGGGCCCTATGGCTATAATCCAGACGTAGGATAATGGCAGACTTGAACAGTGATGGAGAGCGGTAAGCCACATTCTCCATTTGGAAAATAGTTAGAATAATGAAGAATACAAGCTAACTTGCGCAATTTGCGGCTGTAGCGATTCCCTAGAGCAACTCAATCCCCAGCAGCGCTTCCTTGATCACCCAGAGACGAGTAGCGAAGTGCTCGATGATGAGGAGCTGGGCCTTAAATATGTCGGGAAACCTAAACGTGGACGTTCACTAGTTATTCTGTGGGCTTTTATTCTCATTGTTTGTTGCTTCCTACAAACTGTGTTTGTGGCCAAATGTGAGTGAGCTTACAACCTTATCCTCATGATTCGTTAATTTCTGTTTGTGGCACACTCATATTGAAATTTGGAGCAAATGAATCAAATCGTGTGTTTGCTGGACATGTACTGACTCGATGTTACAGATTCGAAGGGAAAGCATTATTATTCATCGGAGTCAGACTTATGTCTGTCTCCCGAGTGCATTCATGCATCTTCTTCATTTCTTCGCAACATGCACCCCAATCCCGATTCGATTGATCCTTGTACGAATTTCGATCAACTTGTTTGCGGGGGTTTTTATGAGGAGGACATTCCATATGGCCAGAGCTCCGTTTCCACGCTGTCGCAGGTGGAGGATCGAGTCCAAACCGCGTTACGCCATATTCTGGAAAATCCCCGCACTAATATGAGTGAAAATTTCATCACACTTGAGACTTCATATAACGCTTGTATGAATAAAACACGGCTGGAGGAAATCGGGGCAGCACCATTACAGAAGCTGGTGGACAGTGTCAAACTCGACGCCGATAATCAAAATAGCCTCGCCGATGCCATTATCTCTCTAATTGATATAGGAACTAGTTATCCTATCGATTTTGGCGTTGATGTGTGTGTTTCCTTATTAACATTCTGTGTTTGCTCTAGTTCTGACAATATATAGGCTGATTCAACAAATCCCGATGCGGTTATCGTATTCGTAGCTCTCACAACACACGTTGGGTTACCGTCGCCGCATCTTTACAACGCCACGAATGTTATTGAGCTGTACGCGAAAGTTATGGAACTGGTATTGGGGGATTTTGGGGGGTCAGATGCGGCTTCTGTCGTAGACTTCGAGAAGAAACTAGCGGAGATACATATTAACGCTCGGGGTTCTACAGTTAAATACTCATTGGCTGATGCCCAAGCACTGTTGCCGCAAATATCCCTCGAACGAATAATATCTGCCAAGGCACCCATCGGCTATAAGGCTGAGCAAATCGTAATCTATCAGCCAGAATCTTTTAAACAGCTCTCTAAACTCCTTGCTGATACTCCAACACCTATCCTCAACTCGTTCCTCAAATGGAAAGTGATCCAGAACTATGCTTCAGATATTGAAGATCCCATTATCAAGCCATACCGACGATTTCACAATGCTCTTTCTGGCAAAGACCCTGACTCCGTTGGAGAGCGGTGGAGGAAATGCGTTTCTGCCGTAAATACTGACCTAGGATGGATTCTGAGCAAGTTCTTCATTGAAAAGGCTTTTTCTGAGGAAGCAAAAAAGTTTGGCGACCAAATTATATCGGACATCAAGGAAGTGTTTGTGGAAACTCTTGAGGAAACAACGTGGCTATCCGACCACGTCAGAAAGGAGGCAATTGAAAAAGTTGGAAACATTGTACCGAAAGTCGGATATTCAAGTAAGAGCCCAGATGTCCGCAACGCGGAGGCTCTGAAGAACTTGTATAAAGATCTGACCGTTACGGACGCCTTTTTCGATAATCGTGTCCGTGCACAAAAATTCCTCGCCACAAAATACTGGTCCAAGCTAGGAAAGCCAACTAATCGGGATGCATGGGAAACCACGATGCCCACTGTTAATGCGTACTACAACCCAACAGGCAATGATATCGTTTTCCCTGCCGGTATTATGCAAAACCCTATGTTCTATCATCCATTTATACCTAAATACCTTACTTACGGCGCTTTTGGGTCGGTGGGCGGTCACGAGCTTACGCATGGTAAGTTATTCAGTCCAGGACCTCCATCCATTATGATTAATTGACCAAGTGTCCTTGCTAACGGATAAATTAGCTTTTGATAACTCGGGCAGACGTTATGATGAGCATGGAAACAAGACGAATTGGTGGGATAACAGGACGATGGAAGAATTCACAAGTCGCGCCGAGTGCTTTGTTAAACAATACTCAAATTTCACGATTGAGGGCCCAGACCAGAAAATATTGAAAGTCAACGGCATGCAGACCCTAGGTGAAAACATTGCAGACGCAGGCGGCTTGAAGGCCGCCTACCGTGCATGGAAGAAACGCGAGGCTGCCTCCCCATCGCAGTCTCTCCCTGGGCTTGGAAATTATACGCATGAACAACTTTTTTTCATATCGTTTGGCTCGGTCTGGTGTGCAAAGATGACGCCACAGGCAGCGGCGATACGAGTACAGACGGATGTGCATTCACCCCAATTTGCTAGGATTTTGGTACGTTGACAAATATTTCATCCCCACTCCACTCCCTAAGTGCTTCTCCCCATGAGTCTTTTAAAAGCGTAACCCAAATAATTGACCACAATTTCCCCCAAACCCCTTTTCAACCTGCGCGTTTTCAAACATGCTTGTCAGAGAACAAGAAGACAACTCAATTCTATACCTTCTACTGACACGATCATGACAATATAGGGAACCGTGGCGAACTCTCCACAATTCAGAGAAGCGTTCAACTGCCCTGTTAAGGAGCCGACGTGCGACTTATGGTAATTCTTTGAGGAGCCATGTCGAGAAGGCTCAATTTCACACAGTATTGTCCATTTCATCATCTCTCATCTTCATGCGGTTCTAAAGAAGACATAAGCGTTTTTCTGCAGTTCACTCGATCTTCTTGGTTTAAAGATGGTACAATATGCACATTTTCTATAGTCGTGCATAGACTTATCTAGACTAGTCCTTTTTTGGCTCTTCCTTTGTTTATTTTCTTTAGTTACTTAATTTTCCCCCTTCCTGATCCATACCCCGCAAAATGCAAATTAGGTAGCATTTTAAAAATTTACTGCTTTGTATGTACAACTTATCCCTGGCTCAAATCAACCCCCTTATCCGCCTGTGCATGCCCATACGCTTTCAACCGAATAGCCTGCGTAGCAATGAATCCGGTCGTATCGGTGGGCTGGAAATCGTCCAGCGAATCCATACTGCTCTGTTCAGGGCTATACAGTTTACTCGTCTGTGAGCTGCGACCTAACACGCTGGTTAGGCCCTTGTAGCAGCGCAGGCGCACCTGGCCGTTAACATCGTCCTGGCTGGCTAGGATGCTCTTCTCGATAAATTCGCGCTCGGGAGAGAAGTAAAGGCCGTTGTAGAGGAGCTTGGACCACGTTACGGTTACAAACTGATCACGAAGTAGGCGGACTTCGCGGTCTAGGACGAGGCCTTCTAGGTCGAGATGGGCGAGGCGGAGGATGGTCATGGCAGGTGAGTCGCTGTGCGGTTTGGTTAGTTTGGGAATGAATTCCTTTTCTGGTGGTTTGCTTGGAGTGATAAAAAGGCAAGTGAGTGACTGAGGGGGCCAAAGGGGGGGGGGGATTTACTAGCAGCCGCGCTGAAAACAGGAGTTAGTAGCTTTCTTTCGCAAATTGAATTCCGATTCGGCAGACTTACAGATTTGAGACCAATGTAACGATTCTCGACGATGTCGATTCGTCCGATACCTAGGAAAAGTTTTAATTAGCTCCTTCATTTCATGTACTGTACTAGGCCATAAGTATTGGCAACCCCCACTCCGAGCATGGTGCCGTTTTGTGGCAGAAAAGTAGTGGGGGTTGCCAATACTTACGGCCTGGCACCGTATGTTTCTGCTCTATCGTGGGATAAAAAAATTACCGTGCTTGCGGCCAAGCTCGTTGAGTGCGGTGAAAATCTCGACGGAATCGGAGATCTTCTTTCCCCCAAGGGTTAATAGACTTGGGATGCCCTTCTCAAAAGCGAGAGTGAAATCCTCAGTGGCATCGGGAGCATTGCGAGGGTCATCCGTCAATTTCCACATGTCATCGGGGGGTGTGACGTCGGCGTCTTCAAGTATACCGGCTTCGTAGGAGCAGTGGGCGAAGCTACGTTCAGCAAAATAAGTATCGGTGATCAAAAGAATCAGAGGGTATACTGCTGGCAAAAGTGGCGAGAACACTTACTTCTCGTCCATAGACCTGATTGCCACGTCGTATGTAAGCATTAATCTTGTAAAATGGATGGTGGATGTCGCACATTCAATTGAATCAGACGCACCATGGCTTAGTCTTTGTGGATGTAACGGGGATATTGTGTTGTTCAGCATAATTGAGGAGGTCATTGCGGCCGGCGAATCGGTTGTAGAATTCAGGAAGACGCCACGGTGCGATCACTTGGATGGATGGCTATTTGTACCATAAAATAAAAGTTGGGTGAGCTGATCTAATTGTGTAAATAACAGGCGATGCATACCTGGATAGCATAAAAAGCAAGCTCGAATCGGACTTGGTCGTTGCTATTGCTCAATGAGTTTTCATTCAAACAAGATGTAAGCGGAGCAATTGTCCTTACCCCTTTCCGGTGCAACCTAAAACATCCAATGTTAGTATGGAACTACGCTCTGGCAAAACCCCCCCAAAATATGCTGACGTACCGTGACTGACAGCGATACAACCCTCCTCTTTCGCGCACCGCATCATCGCACGCGCAATTACAGGGCGGGCACTTTATACGCATGAGTATCGCAGCCAATTAGAGTAGGTGAAAGGGCTTGCATACAGACTCGTTCTAGATCAGCGGTCAGCGAGTGGTCGGCAAAACCAAACGAGAATCAGATGTTACTCTCGCCACAGGTTGATGTAGCTTACCCGAGAAGATATCTGTCCTCCCATATGGCCTATACGCACATTGTTAGCATCAACTGTCCCCCCCCTGAATGCATTCATAGGTGGCAATCCGACCCCGTTGTACAGTTCCCCGTCAATAGAGGGGCAGAAGCCTCATATGCAATTGCATGACTCACATTGCATTGAATGGCGCGATAGCATAGCTCTTCAACAAATTCGCGCTTCAGATCAGCAACAACCAGTTTCAGCGCACCTATCGATAGAGCCTTGCGCTCAGCTTCTTTGAAGTCCTCTGCCTGGCCGACATCCGCGAGGAAGCAGACGACGTCATATCCTTGCTCGATAAGCCAGGTAAGGATGCAGCTGGTGTCGAGGCCACCGGAATATGCCAGACAGACCTTCTGTTTGGCAGGCATGGTTCTCTGTGTGCGAAGTGGTACGGTCTCAGTGCGTTGGGGGAGTACAATTGGGGTTGAGGATTTCGATGGAGCAGGAAAAAAAAAAATATAAATCAGATATGCCCCACCAAATCTTTGCGCCAAGATCACGGGACTACGGTCTCCCCGCACCGCTTCCAATAGGGGCCATAGCGTCGGCTTCCATAGCCTGCGACTGTCAGCATTCTAAATCGACCACGGCTGCACTCGCGGGTGTCTAGGCGTCGTAGGATAAAATCAAGCTTGTTTGTATTTCGGTAGGTAATCGACATCGGCGCTAAGCGAGGCATTGAAGAGTTTGCTTGCAATTAACCAAAGCTGTCCAACATATTGGCTACCGTTTCAACCGACACATTGATCGAGGCAACAAACCCAATCGCTCATAAAAATCAACAATCAGAAAGAAGGGAATGATGGGGGAAAGCGAAGGAAATGAAGTGAGGCGGAAAGACGAAGCCCCCAAAAACATAAATAACATTCCTGGGGCCAAAACGTTAGTTTCCAATCCCTGCGTCCGGACACCATCGGTCGAGATGTCAAGGAGAAGAAACTCGAAGGGCAAAACGAGTTTCAATTAGCATGGGTTAACAACCACTTTCATATCCATGTCTATGGTCACCGAGCCGGTTAGGCTCAGCTACTCTGTGCAATGGATTCGGAGATCATTTTCGGCCTCAGTCCTCCAAAACTGAGTGCGTATGCGTGGACAAACCTGCTCTGCACGAAACGGATGGCGGACACAGGTTGGTACTGGCGATCCGAATATATCCTCCTCCGTGGGCACTCCCCGAGATCTGACTTAGATTACTGGGAAGAGGCGTTGGCGGGAAGAGGACGACCAGAAAGAAGCTGGTAGTGGGTTGCTTTTCCTTGGTTCAGTCTATATAGCAACCTGACTCTTCCTTGTTCACCGCTATAAACAAATCTGCTTTATGATATGTCTCTACCTATTTCTTTAACGGTAAGGATATCTAAATGACTCTCTTTTTGCTTATATTTGATTCATACTTCGACAGAAGAGAAATGTGTGTATGCAAATGAACTATTAAAGTTACATGCAAGTGGATTACAAAACACTTTTGAGTGGTTCTACTCTATTCGCAAGAGGCCAATAACCTAGCTTCAAGCATAGTAGTATATTCTTTCTTCTTGCTTCAAGCATAGTCCAGCTGCTGATCCATGTAACTTGAAAATCTTCAAATCAGCGCTTTATTTCCATTGAAAAGAGTTCAACAGTTCTTGTAGGTAGCATATGACAGTGAGATAATCAAAAGAATAACCATTTCCTTCCCGCCTATCTCATTTCAAGTCCACGACCGCTGTATGAACCTTCGGAGATAATTCAACCCACTCATCTTGCATTATTTAACCCAAAATGCCATTCTCGCCCTCCTTTGCTTCGCCCTACCTTCAACAACCTGTATCTTAAAAAAAATTGAACAGGGAATTAAGTGTGCAACTCAGACTTGAAGAAGCTTTTGCGTTACGCTGGTAAATTTGCCGTGGAGCATTCTCACCATGACCGGACGAATCGGCTGCTGCTTGGAGTGATTCCGGACAGCGGGTAGTTAGTAGATTTTAACCAGGGTATATTAGTATTAGTATATCCAAGGGTGAAGCAGCGGTCAAGCTCCACCACATTGATTAATTGACTTTGTATAAATTGTCCATACTTCAAAAGTAGCGCTTAAAAAAAATATCAAGATGGATAAACTATAATTTGTAATTCCGTAGTATGCCCCCACTCAGCTTTCTAAATGCAAGCTAGAGCAAAAGCCCCCCCAAAATTTGTCTTTCATGAAACTGTACACCTTGGGTTGGGGAGGTGAGACAACAAGCTTGGGTTTCTGAGCGAGTTCCACGGAATGAATATTTGGAGGAGTATGGGCGTAAGGCTACCTCATAGTAATGACTCCTGCCTTCAGCGTCAAAGCCTTTGGAAGTCATATACACGGTACAGAGTAGGTGTTCTCATCTTAAGTTGGGCTTGGCAGATGCGCAGGTATCCCCTCGTCTGGCCGCGAGGCAACAATTAGTGCAATACCATTAGTGTAACAGTTAAGCTGTTAGTTTCAGTGTATCAATCAATAATTTCTCATACTAAAATCTATGTAATCTGATTTATTGATATCTCTTCATTATCTTATGTTTTTTGCTTCACACATTCTGCAATTTTGAAAATCTTCTCTTTTTATTTCATATTCATCATAAACATGGTAACTCTGCTCATCTTGAAATAGCAATATGATTTTTACAAATGATTTTCAATTCTTCAATGCTTTTGTAAATCAGATTGACTGATATTTTTATTAAATAGTATAAAAATAAATATAAAATGAAAGTGATTTATCAATTCATTTCTTGTAAACATTTTATTTTCAGAGAATATTAAATTCAAATTTATGAAATCTCTTCATCATTCTTCAACTGTCAATCTATTCAATATAAATTTATGAAATTCATACACTCTATTCTCTCTCTATATCTCAGAGACAGATATTCAGAATATTATCAATTTCAACAATATTTATACGGAGATTCAAATAGTAAAGAATTCAATCATTAATTTTTAAAATTGACAATCAATTATCTTTGCAAAAATTAAGATATTTCTTGAACAGATTGTTTATATAAAGATATATAGATTTTTAATAATTGAAGATTATTGAAATAAGAATGATACTCAGAAATCTCTTCATTTATCAAAATTTCATATAAAATAAAAACAACTTAAGTAGATTGGAGAATATATTCATATATTCAATTTTCACAAATCAAAGTTATTCTTCATATAAAAGTTAAAATCTGTAAAAGACATATTTTGATTAACAGCTAACACTATTCTAATACAATTTACAAATTAATTAAGAAAAGGAAAAAAGGGGGGGGAGGTCAGGAAAAGGAATTGTAAAAAAAGATTTTTATAAAAAAAAAACAAAATAAAAGAATATCAGAGATCATATTATAATGAAATACAAAGCAGAAAAATGTTAAAAATTATATGAAAAAATCATTAAAATTACATAAATATGAAGTGAAGATTATATGAAAAAATTGTTAAAATACACTATAATAAAATGCAGAATGGAAGAATGTTAAGAATTATATATTAATAAAATATGAAATGAAAGAATATTGATTGTATAAATTAATTATTAATAGATGCTAACTCATCACATTATTCTTTTCTATCAAAGTGAGTGAAAATTTGTAGATGTTAAGAGCAGCAGTATTTTTCATGATGAACGCAGATTTTTAAATCAGATAATTATATTCTATTAATTGAATAAAATATTTATAATGATGATGATTGATTTTATTGTTGAGAATTGCTTCAATTTTTTATTTAAATTTATTTTTTTTTATGCTGATAAATGACTGTCAATTAAAAATCTTTTGTGAGAGAAACAGATCTTCAGCAACAGATTGAAACAGATTTATATGAAAAATATTATGAATGTTAAATAAAATATTAAATTAATAATCATAAATGTTCAATACTTTCATCATTGTGTATTTAATATAATGATAATCTAATATATATATAAGAGATGATCTGTTTTTATATTTTTAAAATTCAATCAAATTAACTTATAACTTTCAGAATGAGGAGGTTATAGCTAGTTCATTTGAAGAAAAATGTCAAGCTTTTATGAGAATATTGTTTCCATCATCAAATAATTCAACTGAGGTTTGTTCTTTGTAAAAAGATAATGAGTAATGAGTGTGTTTATATACATCTTGAGATACATGAGGATAGCTCGGATAGCTTTTGCCAAGATAGCTATCAGAGCGAGGATAGCTGTGATCACTCCGCTCACTCGAGTGATCCGAGTGATCCAGGTGATCCGCTATGTCACGTGACCTATTGTTCCTATTGGTTAACCGGATCTTCCCTTATCCGATGTCTAGCTTGCATGCCCTCTACCATTTAGTCGTTCCTTGTCCAATGGCTCTCATGGTTGTGCCGTAGGTTTGTAACACAAATACTCAGTAAAGAAGAAGAATCAAAACATGGTTTTTTCAATCTGATTCATAACCCTCTCATTAACATCATTATTAAACATCTGTGATATCATCTTCTTCAATAAAAAATCCTGATACAACAGTACATTTGACATCTGAAATATTTATACCCATATTCAGTGAGGTTGTTGCCATCATAATTTGTATTTTTGATATTAGTTTCATGAATTTCTTGAAGTGAATATTCTGATCTACTTTAGACACTTGAAATGTGAAATACTGAATAATGTCATTAATGAAAAAGATATCAATAATATTGATATTCTATCTGTTATTTTAATAGATTTGAAGAAGTATTGATTGAAAATATTGCATTGTTTGTTGAATCTTGACATGATTGTCAATAAAGATAATGATTTTTAAAATATATTAAAGTATGACCTTTCTATCTGTATCAATGGCCTCATTCAATAAAAAGTATAACATATCATAGAATACAAGTTTACCATGTGGAATTGAATGTACACTGATAAAGATATTAAAATGATTAATGAAAGTTTGAATAATTTGAATTTGTCATGAATTTACACCAATAAAACAAAATTCAATTTCTTGAAAAATGATATTTTCAGCTTTACTGCTGAGGGTTGCAGAACAATCAAATCAGACAATATTTTTATGAAGAAGCAATTTCAGATGCTTCAATTTGATAAATTAATTACAAAATTGACTTTATTATATGACAAAATGATATTCATTAATAACTACAAATTCAATCTTTTTTTATAAAATAGAGCTTGCTTTGAACTGAGCAGTATATGTGTATAATCATTTTGTTAAATGTGTTTGAGTAAGTCTTCTTGACTTTGAAGATTATCAGCATTGATCAGATAAGAATTGATATTGAAAAACTGTGTTATATCTTTTATTTACTGATCATCAAGTTTGTTTAGAGAAATCAATTGAATGGTTATTTTTTTTATCAGAATTGTATAAAATTGAAGAATAAAGCTTTTTTCATAATCAATTCTGACAATGAATAAAATATCGCTATATTCATATATTATATGCTGAAGTATATGAACTTATTTTATACATGATTGAAGAGTACATTCAAAATCTGAATGCAGATTTTGAAGTATTCATTGAAAATAATACTGAATAACATTTTAATGCTTATGTAAGAGATGGGCTACAAGAGTAATTGCAAGAGTAGTGTGAAGTACGCACAAAGGATATTAGAAAGGTAGCAATCTCTATTGTTCAAAGCTAATCGCTGATCTCCTAAAATCCACGGATATCAGCGAGCATTATATAGATAATATTACCATCGCCACGTATCTATCGCCACGTATCTATTTCCTAATATAGATATCTCCGTTGCGCCTATTACAGCTTATTGATATTATCTGATTCAGCATAGCTCATAACAAGTTGTGGTATATTTTCAATATTCATTAAAAGTATTTATTTTAATGATAGCTTTTGAGGCTGCTGTTGTAGTTGACTTACACATTTTCCTTAATTTTTCTTGATTATATTTAATGCAGTTGATGAAATGTTGTCTAATTCAATTGTCAAAAAAAATGTTATATAATTGATTCAAAAATTGTCAGAAGGTCTCATAAATTGTCAGAAGTTTAAAAATGTTATTAGAAATTAATGTATTATATAAAATTATTAAAAGTTCAGAAGTTGTCAGAAGTTGTCAGAAATTGTTAAAAATCATTGAAAAATACATTTAATGCTTTAACTAAAGTTTTTGATAATTGAATAGATGTTTTGATGACAAAATCAAGACATTGAATGATTATATATGATTATGATTGAAAAATTAACAAATTATTTCTATATTCAAAATCATAATAACAGTTTTCAACATGACACTTTATATTCAAAATATATATATTTTCAGATAAAAATTACATCAATTGATAGAAAATTGAAAAATTAATTCTTTAAGATGATAGAGAAATGATTTATAAATGATGTTGCACAGTGATTCTATCTCAAACATTATGATTGAAACAAATTATTTTTGTGTTGTTAATAAACAGAAACTGTTATTTCTCAGATGCTCTGCGAAGAGTTTGCTGAGAATGTTCCATTTAGATTTAGTGTAAGCCTCATGACAGTTGATTGGCGCAGATGTTAGCAGGACTTGGCAGAAAGTAGCAGTAGTTCGGATTGAGTTAGCTCGGAGTGAAGTGGCTGAGTTTACTGAGATGCAAAGCGGGGACCGTTGACAAAAATTGAAAAGATTATTATGCACTAAGAAACTATTAGGCCACTAGGGCAAAAGAGCTCAATCACCACCAGCGCCGTGGTGGTATAGAGGGTACGAATCACCCAATCCAATCCCCCCAACAGAAACATGGCAGTATATGCTAGATCACGGATCTTCCTCCAGTTGCGCAAACGCAGTTATGGGACCAGTCCAGGCAACCAGTGTGTAAATGGGATGAGTGATGCATCTCATTTTTAGCAGCTCACCCATCGATTCCTTGTATATAGTTTTTCCAGGTCAGCAATGAGGCGCTTGTGACAAAACTGTGCATGGATCCTGGCAGAGGCTTGAACGTGACGCTAAAAAAGTTCATTGTGATAAACCATCATTAAGAGTGTGTATGCTAACTGTAGGCGAACGAGTGACAATCAAGTAGCAACCACCATTCAACTTATGACCCTGTCTATTATCCAATGCAATCTGAACCCACACTAGCGGGTGCACTCATACAGCAATCCGCCAACCCGTCCGTCGAGGGAGACGTTTACCCAATAGCTTTTTTTCAGCTCACGGAAGCAGATTTACAGTATCACTTTATTGGAGGATTCACGGTGGAAAATTCGAGTCCTGTAACTAGGCTTGCACAGACTGTTTAATTTATTGTCCCCAGCGGTAGATGCAACCGTTTCAGTCATTGCCCATTACCTCTGTCCTGCCGCCCATACAACACTGATTCATTCCAGCCTGCTCTCATTGGACATTGACGCGTGGTACTGAGATAATGAGAAAGTCCGACTGAGCATCGACGACTTGATTACTTGTAAACCGAATATATTTCCCTGGCTCAAAGCGTACGCCACGTATATCTACAGCTCCCAATAGCGGGGAAAAAAAATTGTCAAATTCCGGTCTTTGTTGAATGGTCGTATATTCAGAAATTTTGTAGAGGGTAAATTTGCAGCTCTAGAGCAAATAGTTGGCAACATTGCGAATATGGGCCAGAGAGGTATCTACTTTTCCAGTTTCAACTTGCTCAGCGGCAGATAGACCTTCTGAAATCTTGCTATATCAACACAATGTCATGTATTTTTTCCCTGGGTGACTATTTCTGCTGCCTGAAACCACTCTGCTAACTCATCCAAATCTCCTTTAGCATCGCTATCAATTGTTGAAGGAATTCAAATTCGCTTGTTTGATTCTGTGTCATCTTTATTGGAGGATGTAACAAGGGAAAGATGAGTTTGTGGCGATAGGACTGGAATTAAAAAAAAAAAATAGAGAAAAATTTGGCGGGGCATGCATCTCAAAATGACGCATTTATGGTGCCAACTTAGCCGGAAAAACAGTTCTCTAACCGGACCAATATTTTTACAGCGGGTACAGTTGGCGTACATTAATTCTAAACGGGAATAGCCGAACTTCCTCAAAATACAATTTCAATCATGTATTTTATTCGCGCTTCAGAGCCAAGCCGGATCAACCCTTTGACCAGTATCTGTTCCTAACCAGCTATCTTCTCTCACAAGTATCATACATCTTCCTAACAATTCTGCATTTTTGTTCCCGTCCCATTCATCACAGCAACTCCTAGTTAACCTCGCATCAACCCAACGGTCTTTTATACCATCAAAATGGCGGGACTTTCACAAGAAGATCGCAACATTATCAAGAACCATCCTCTAACCAGCTCAGTCAATCATTTACAAGGTGTGCTTCAGGAAGCTGAAATAATCTATGAGTCACGTCTAATATCCTATGATGGTGCTGTTGATAACCTTGACCAACTCTATCGGGGAGCGACTTCGGGACTTCTCTCTGTTTGACAGAAAGAGGGTGCGGCTTGTAACCTTCACTCATGGATAGGTGATGGGAAATTGGAGTCTGATCTAGGACACTTAGTTGAGCGTCTCAAAAAAACAAAAGAAATCTTTAAATACGATGACTACCGGCCTCTAGTACACCTGGTCATCCGAAGGTTCCCAGACAATGAAATCCAGGACGTCGATAAATGGAATGTCGGTCCCTCAATCAACTCCTCCGGCGAGCGTTCCTCCCTCCTTTGACGGCACGCCAGTCAAATCCACCTCTTCATCGCAGAAAGGTTCCGAGCAGACATGTGAGTTGATGAATCCAAGAATCTTCGAGGAGATACATGGTTGCACATTTCGAGATGTCGAGAGCTTTTTTGACAAATACTTTGAGGAGAAGGACTGGAGCGGCAAAACAGATGCCATCTGTCAACGCGTGCTGGCCCCGGACAGCGATGGTAATTGGGCCCAGTTTCCCAATCCTCCTACACAGAACAATGTCCTTGCCTGGTGGTTTCGTCTTCAAGAAGACCTTCTCTCAGAATCACGCGGCACCTACTACACCACAGCGAGCAAAGCGGATCTTACTGGTTCGAAGGCAGAACGGCAAGTCGACCTTCTTTTGCGAGCTAGGGGTGGTACCCCCTCGCGAAACAAACACAACTGGAGAGACATCCTGGTAGTTGGCGAGCTCAAAAAATCCACGGAGGAGATCAAGACCAAGGACACTCTGCTTCAGATGAGCCGCTACGTGCGCGAGGTCTTTACCGCCCAGCCCACCCGACGGTTCATCCACGCGTTCGCCGTCTGCGGGACCAAGATGGAGGCGTGGGTGTTCGACCGTTCAGGTCCCTATAGCTCCGGCGTCATCGACGTCTACAAGGACTCAAGACGGTTCTTTCAGGTGCTTGTTGGGTACACCATGATGAGTGATGAGGAACTAGGACTGGATAGTTTTATTGCTAGGGATGAAGACGGCAACAAATCAATAACTGTCAAAGGGCCTGGAACCCTAGACAAAAAAGTGCTGCGGCTGGGTGAAATACTTTCCTTTCAACATGCCATCGTGTGTCGCGGGACCACGTGTTTTTTCACAAATGATGGACAAGGTGTAGCTAAATTCTCGTGGGTGTCGGACAAGCGGCGGCCGGAGGTGGAACTCCTCGAGCTAGCATGTCAAAAGAATGTCCAAGGAGTCGCAAGGATCATCGGTCACAGTACCATCACCAGCATCGCCGACATGCGCTGCGGTCTGACGTTCAACAAGCGCCACCACTTCAAAAGCGCACCCCCCAGCGCAACCTCCTCATTTCATCAATCTCAGCCGCTCATCGAGCCGCGCTGCTTAGATATCCGTCGCAAGTCATCTTCCAGGAAACGCAGATCCCCGGATAAGGGGATGCAGGTGTCCAAACAATCGCGTTCCATCAATCAATCATCAAGGAACACCCAGGAGGAGAATGAACTAGCTTTCTCCATTCAGTCAGCGCACAAACCGAGCCTCTTCGACAGAAATGGTGAGGAACTGTATGACAACCGTGTCCTCCGCTGTCTAGTGATATCGCCCGCTGGCCGGCCGATCTACAAGTACGAATCACACTTGGAGCTGCTCAAGGCACTTCGCGATGCAATAAAGGCGCATCGATCTCTTTACCTGGATGGAAACATTCTTCATCGGGATATTTCGGAGAACAACATAATAATCACTGATCCAGACAAGGCAGATGGCTACTCTGGCATGCTGATCGACCTGGATCTTGCTAAAGAAGTTGGAAGTGGGCGAAGCGGCGCGCGGCACCAGACTGGCACAATGGAGTTCATGGCAATTGAGGTGCTGCTGAATATCGACCATACCTATCGGCATGATCTTGAGTCTTTTTTCTACGTGCTTATCTGGCAGTGCGCCCCTCATGGCTGGGGGAAGGATAACCATCCTAAGGATAGTAAACTTCGTGCCTGGTATACTGGTAACTATGAGGACATTGCAAACGCCAAGCTTGGCCACATGAGCAAAGCTGAAAACATGGGATTTGGATTCATTTTGAGGGAGTTCCCTCCAAAGCTCCGTGGTGTTGTACCGCTATGCGGGGCCCTACGAGACATACTCTTTCCTTACAATGACAAAGGTCTTATTGTTGGCACTCCCCAAGACCCAATCCGCTTATACGATCCTATTATTAAGGCGTATGATGACACGATCGCCCAATTTGAACTCGAAAATCTCACTAGCGATAAATCTGTTTAGTGTTCTCTCAGAGTTAAATGAACAACAAATGAACATGAACAAAGGAAATACCATACCATAGTTATAGGGAAGATAGACCCCGCTCTAGAATGTGATAGGCAATCTCAATAGTGCTTCCTAGGCCAGAACGAAATATGAAAAGCAAACAGAAGACAAAGAGCAAACAAATAAGACAGGCATAGTACGGGACAAATATGGGTAGAAGTGTAGCACTATTGAAAGTTGGTTGGAAATACTTGGGAAAAGTTATGACTTTTTGTTGTATGGAAGACAGTTCACCCGCCGCTGAGCTGGCATGTCTCATTCCAGACTAGCTTGGCTCACCAGTATTTAGTGGGCTTGCATTGCAGTTGATCAGCGAGAGTGGGATGGACTTACGTAATCGTTCTGTTAGATCCCGTAACTAACTACATCTGTAGTTAGTTACGTTAAATGCCGAAAGTTATCCGCTTGATGCGTCTCAGGAAGGCGTCGAGTAAGGGAAAACTACCTCCAAGTCTGAATTCAGTGTTTATACTTACCCTTAAATCCAGCATTGTTCTCGTACCTGAAATTGGAACTACCTTACCAGAGAGCTGGCCGTTTGCTAACAAAGAATGGCTTTCCACATTACCTGGCTCTGGTGTTGGAGCATGCATTTTCGCATACGAATATGCTTCCCCATTTGCAGGAGCCAATTATTCGTGGGAGTCGGTGTTGATACTAGGCTACGACCTTCTCCAGCATCTAAGTGATGCGCGATCACAACCAGATCCAGATATGGTATGCGAATTAGAATGGATTCGTTCTGCTTGAATTGCCAGTATGCGTGCTGAGTAGCTACTCTAGACCACCAGCAAGCCAATATTGATTGATAGTGTGTCACAGCTTGGGCGGCATCATAGTCAAACAGGCCCTGTGCGTTGCTAACGAGCAGTTTTTTCGTTACGGGTTGATTGTCATGCTATAGCGGGCCGCATCGCTATACTGACAAGGGATTACTACGATTTCAAGACGTGTTGGAACCAACCATTGGTAGAGCCTTGAAGCTTCCAAACACAAATAGCAATCAAGAAGACGGGATTTTGCTCGACCTCGCGGATAGATTTGAAGGAATCTCATTCCGTACCCCGATACTATCCGTATATGAACTAAAGGAATCAAAAATCACTTCAAGACCATTGCGCCAGAAGTACCAACAAGTCAATGATTTTCCCTTGGCTTAGCTATGAATTCTAACTTCGACTTTAGCTGGTCGGCCGTGAAACTTGTTCGACTCGTTCCCCGATGGAATCAGTCATTGGTCTCAACCTCAATCATCACGATACTTGTCTTTTTACCCAGAGCATTGGCGGTGAAGGATTACGCGAGTTCAAAAATTTTATTCACGAGAGCCTGCATAATGCGGTGCATCTTGTTGCGCTTCGACTCGAGGACCGTAGGTTATGAAGGTATAAGAAACAATAGAATTGCGCTAATGAATCTAGAGGAATGTCAATACGCGACAATGAGCTCATACTCACCCACAGTATGTGTACTCCCACTCAAAGGTGAGCCCAATAATCCATATCCAGCAAAGAAACAATGGTGATATCGATTAGTCGAGCAACTGGAACCTACCGAATGGTGGCCATCAAACAACGCGACTCAATGGCCTTCGAACAGAGCAAGAGAAGGAACGTCACTTCATCTTTTATGAATATTATGAGGTATTGGCAGCCGATCAATGGGGAGTTGGGAGGCTAACTGCCCAGTATTTCCGTCTAAAAAGATACGGCGTTGCAATTTTATTTTCGAATTAATTCTCCAAATTACACCTTCACGTTGGAAATACCCGAGATAGTCACATCAGAGATGGGTGAAAAGCCTTTTCTGTCTGACATTCGAAGAACGCAGGGAGAGGTAAATTCAAACACGCACTAGCTTTGCGTGACCGATGTAGAAGCGCCGAGTGTTTGTATATTCAAACTTCGAGGCCGCAGTGATTTCAACTGTCAAGCGTACGATATTGTTAGCATTCGTAATCGGATATCTTCAATCATTGCTAGGGAAAGCTCCGATCTTCCCCTAGAAAAGAAGAGGATTTAACAGGCATTTTAAACCTGTTAGGCCAGCTTCAATACTATTACATACAAAATTGAAGGCAATGATCGACTGTATGCTAATGATAATATCTTGCTTATTTCATGAGTGACATTTCTAGTGGTGGATTTGACGGAGCACTTTTAGTCGATCCAAGCGCTTCTTGATTAAATTTCTAACATTCAGATGGATTTGTTATACTTTCAACCCTTCCATGCTTTTGTCATTTCATTAAATCATTTGTCTTGATTTTCGCTCATTCAATCAGTCCGCAGCCGTGGACTGGAACTATATCCTGTTTAAAAATTCATTTCTGATCCCGCAAGGGTCGACGATACTATGGAGTAGTTAGTTAACAATCTCCATTCTAAGAACTAGAAATCCAGTGGATTTCCTGTAGGCACCACGAATAAGTTAAGCACCAGGACTATCTACATTCATTTGTGCTAAACATGATCCGAGCATGAGCAGCAAACAGCCAGATTGAAACATGGAGAGCTGTTTACTCGACGTCAAACCTGATCCTTTGTTTCACCTCTCCCAGAAGATATGGTTATAGACCAAAGTTGACCCTGCTTTGATCCAAAACCCCATGGCTTCTCTTACGAAAGAGTAAGTGATTGCCATTTATTGATTCAACGGACGCGACTGATATTTCGACGTTCAAATGGGGGTTGAGTAGGTCTCCTTAGCAAAGTCTGCAGCTGACGCTGACAGCCATCAGCTTCCCCGCCATCCGAGCATGCATTTTTGACATGGACGGTCTCCTCATCGACTCCGAAGACATAATCACGATGTCCATAAACCAGTTTCTTGAAAAGCACGGGAGGCCTACTTTAAGCCGGTCAATCCGGGCCAAACTCATGGGTGTTCCAAACTCGACTACCAGTGACGTTTTCCACGACTGGGCTCAACTGCGTATCCCTCGCGAGCAATTCGCCCACGAAGCGACTGAGCAGATGAAAATGCATTTCCCTAGTTGCAGGCCGCTGCCTGGCGCGCAGGAGCTACTCTCAAACCTCAGCCGAGCATTCTGTGCTGCCAACAGGAGATGAAATCGAGCTGGCATTGGCATCCGCCACCAAGGCCCCTAGCTACGCATTGAAAACGTCGAGCCCAGAAACGAAAAGGCTGCTCGATTTCTTCCAGTCTGACAGGCGAATCCTGGGCGATGATCCCCGGTTGTGTCCGGGCAGGGGGAAGCCAGCTCCTGACATCTACCTGGCCGCCTTACTGTCACTAAACTCGACAACAAGCTGTGGCAGGAAGGCGATCCTTCCTAATGAATGCTTAGTCTTCGAAGACAGTGTCGCTGGAGTAGAGGCAGAAAGAAGGGCCAGGATGAGAGTTGTTTGGGGTACCGCATCCTGATCTGGTGGTCGAGTATCAGGCGAAGCAGAAAATGAGTTGTTTGAGATAACGGATCGTATTAATATTGAAAGTGGTTGTCAGCAAAACTAGATTGATGACAGCTGCATTGAAATTATATCAAATCTGAACCAATTTGATTGTGCGAAATATGGTATCAGCATATCTTGCTAAGCACAGAGTGCTTAGACGGAGAAAAGCGAAGTCTCGGAGAATTAAACACGGTTTTGAGGGCTCTAAATCTGCTTTATTTTAGGTTTGAAATAATTGGATATTGATGATCTAGTTGACGTACTGTACATGTTAGATGCCCCCTGAATGTATCTTCTGCGTGCCTGCAATGTATCCTCTGGATCTCCATCCGAGTAGAGATCTCTAGCTAGCTGTGCTTTGACTCTGTCCTGCTTCGGCTGCATGTTCATGAGGTTTCTGTTATAAGTGTTCTAGTTCTATTCCATTCAGTCATGACTATATTACAGACTATTTGAAGGTGTATTTGGCCCTTGAATATAAAGGATCACTGGCCCATCGTCCAATAAGGATGCTAGGGGCAGGCTGCGTTTAGTAATTTATAGCCCTGTAATAAAGAAGTCGCAGCTCTTATACTTATAAGAGTTGAGCTAAGAATTCTCAAAGAGATAAAGAATAAAACTCCTCTTTATATTAATATTATTCACTCTACTGACTATTTTCTTTTTTTAAGAAAAATAAATGAAAACCCTTTCAGCGCTAGAATCTCTACTGTTAACAAATTAATTTACAGAGAGTAGACATCTAGTAGTCAATTATTTCACTTTATATACAGAATGAGAAAATGTTTACTGATTTTAACATTCTCCGCTCTACTAACTAGTATAGAAAGAAGTTGTAGTATCATCACGATTTTTAACATAATCAGTAAGATTTTATCTCAGTAGAAAGACTGAGTGAACATTCTTTTTCTTTAATTCACTGACTAACTTTGGAAAAAAAAATTAGAATAACGGAATATTTTATTAAGATGAGATAATCTAATGAGAATTTGTTGGGGGGATTGGATTGGGTGATTCGTACCCTCTATACCACCACGGCGCTGGTGGTGATTGAGCTCTTTTGTCCTAGTGGCCTAATAGAATTCTAGAGCTCTTACGTGATTTGATACGAAGTATATGCATCAAACCATCATCAGTTCAGAATCTCAGCCGTTGAAAATCGTCCTATGCTGGATTAGATGGAGCCTGAGATCAAAGATAGACTTGTTCAACATCTCTTGGAAAATAGTGGGCATCTATCTCTCCTTCCAATTGCTTTGTGCAAGTAACCCAATTGATCTTAATTAAATCTTATGCAGATTCAGGGGTGGAATGGGGACATATTTTACGTTACAGCCAATCTCCCTTCCTCAGTTACATGGTATTTATCATACGAAGCGTGGGGGTACGTTTTCTATGCACTTACTAACCTTCGAATACTCTTCCTCCTACCGCTATCGCTATCACTTACATGTACTCTCAGTCAACAATTGCGGAAGCCCAGCTTGGGCTACATGGATACAGACGTCCTGTATATACCGTACCAAATATAATACAAAATCTACTGTACCAATAGCCGAAAGACTCCCTGTCGCTGGATCTGGGCCTTGCAGATCATAGCGGCATAGTTTACGACTAACGCCCATGTACCTGGCGGGTGGGTGGATCATGGTGGGCCGCCCGCGCTTAGAAATGCCAGGGGCAGCCAGGGGAGAAGGCTTAAGAAAACGGGGACCCAAAAGCGGCAAGGAAGTTGGACAAAAACGTAGGGTGGAGCGGGGAATCGGATAGTGGGCGGGATCGCCACCCTTCTCAGCGGAGGGTCGGCAACATGGGTCCTCCATTACGGGGAATGCGGGGATAGCGGAATAGCCCCAATAACGGCAATTGGTGCTGGGTATGTGCCTGGAGAACGTTTCTCTGCGGGTCTATGGAGGATGGGGGAGCTCGCGGTGGCGTCCCCGTGATGCTCATGTGACGTGGTGTCCGTTCCAGAATGTTTTGGAGAGCAATACAGCTGCAGGGCGCAACTCGTGCGCTGCTGTCAAGGTCCCAGACTCATATGCGACAGTTCGAGATCGTTAGCTGTCATCGTAACAAATGGTCAGAGTTTCTAGCTGCTCACGCCCTGCGGTCCC